AAAAAAAAAAAAAAAAAAAAACATTTCCTTCTCAGATTTGTGTGTTCACTGCCCCTGACTCCCCAGAAGAACGTGAGCTCCAATGAGGGCAGAGATTTCTGTTGGTTGGGTTCACTGCCGCATTCCTGGGATGCGAGCAGTGCCTGGCACGCAGGAAGCACTTGGAAATTATTTGCTGAGTAAATGAGCAAGTGAGGAAAGAAGGAAAGCGCTGGGGTTAGGAGCTGAAGAACCACGAGAGACAGCCCCCCCACCCCCCAGAGGCCCTTCCAGATTCCAGAACTCTCCCAGGGCCTCCCTTGTCACCTCTGACCAGAGAAGGAAGCCCCTTGTAAATTGTTCTTATCTATCACTTTGCCAGCGGTCCTCACTGATAAATCTTTCTAAATCAATCCCAGTATGCTGACAAACTGGATTCCAGAGATGGATCTGATCAGACCCTGGAGAAGGCCCCCTGTTGACCGCTGGCCAGGCCAGAGTGCAGGGCCTCCCCACCCAGATCCCTGGGTCCTACCCTCTATTCATGTACCCTCCCAGGGTCAGCCTAGGGTGTGAGGGCAGGGAGAATAAACATCCAAGTACAAAATCCTACTAATAGCTCTTTAATTGCAGCCTGTGAGGACACTGAGTCCAGGCCTCCCAACCCTAGAGCAGAGCCAAGCCCCAGGTGCCTGTCAGTTACATGTCCATTTCCCGGATCAGGCTGTGACTGTTTTGCTCACAATGTAGCAAGACTCAAATTAATAGGAAACTTTAAAACCACCCTTTCCTGATCCCTAACCCCATTCATTCTTGAGTTCACCTCCTCTTCTGCAGAGGAAGAGGCCAAATCCAAAGAGGAAGAGGCCAAATCCCTCCGTCTTGACCAATAATTGACCAGCTCTTCCAGGAGACCCTCCTCAGCAGATGGCTGTCAATACTAGCTTGGATGGGATTCCTCCCGGGGATCTTTCTCCGAGGGCCCCTCCAGCTCTGAGCTCTCTCCAGGGAACCTCCCTCGGCCGAGGAGGGGCTTTAATAAGCCCTGGCAGCGCTCATCCACCTCTGCAGAGCCCAATGGTAGTGTGCCTCTTCCTAGCTGGTGACCCCAAGCAAGTGGCTCAACCTCTCAGAACTTCCCGGTACAAAAATAAACAAAGATGGGACTGATAACGCTAGCAAGAGGTGGCGACAGCCAAGGAAGAGAGGGAGGTGCGTAAGAAGAGAAAATTTAACACCTGCACCCCACAAAGAAAACCCGGGAAGAGGAGGGTGTGCTGGGCTGAGGAATGTGTAATCCGGCCCAGCCCCAAGCAGAGAGTGAATGGGAGCAGCTCCCACCTCGTGGCTAATGGGATTAGCAGAGGCTTGGCTCTGGGCGTTGGCCTGGGGTCCGAGGTCTCCCGAGTGGCCACTTGAAGTGGGGGAGGAGGGCAGCCAGAAGCGCACTGGCCCCCACCTTTCCCTCCCAGGTGAGCACGGGGCTCAGGGGGCGGCAGCAGCCCTCCTGCTGTGTCCTCCCGGACCTCGGCTGGCCGAAGTCAAATAGCTCTAAGGAAGCACAGAAGGTGCAGAGAGGCCAGGCTCCAAGGCTACCTCCCGCTGGGCTTCCGAGGCTGAGGGCTTGGCCTTCCCCCTACCTCAGCCTCCCCATCCAGCAAATGGGCAATAGGCCGTCTGACTGCTGCGTCAGATTAGGCGCGGCCCTGGCACGGTGCAGGCTTGCATGAGTAGTGGCTGTTTACACCGCTTCACATTAGGGCACTTTGCCTTGCCAGGCCGGAGCCAGATCCCAGACAGGGAGTGCACGACGCCCCTTCCCAGCCTCGCAAAACCCAAGCACAGGCTCAGCCAGCCAGGGAGACCCAGGCTCCGATTCCCAGGCTTGAGGGGCCCGCCACCACCACCCTGGGCTGCACCAAATGACCCAGACACACGTGCGCACACACACATCACGGTGGACTTGTGGGAAGCGCAAAAAGGGACAGCTCGGACACACTCTAACCCAGGGCCGCCTCCAACTTCTTCCTCGGGGGTCCCCCGCACCCCTCCCTCGAGCCCCTAGCTCCGGAGGAGCACAACAAGCAGGTCCCGGGGCCAAGACCTGGTTCTCTTGCCCCAGTCCGCGGCCGGCGGGGATCTCCACGCTCCAGGCCCCGGGGCGCGCCCCTCCCCCGCGTGGTGCCTCACAAAGGCCCTTTGTCCCTCCAAGCCCCCGGGACTGCAGTTCCTGAAAAGTTCCAGGAGAAAAATCAAAGAGAGGCAAAATCCGTGAGCTCCGCCAAGCGGGCGGGGCAAGGCCGAAGCACCAGCTCCGGGCTGAGGGTGTCTCCTGCAAGACCCTCAAGGAGAAGGGGAGTGTGGCTGTGGGGGGGGGGGGGGCTCCTCTGAATTCACAAAAACCCGAAATTGCAATTGGGAGAAGGGGAGATGGGGAGATGGATTTTTCAAGTCGAGACGGGACGCCCAGCACAAAAGCCAGGGGCAGCCTGAGGAGGAGGGGACCGGGTGTCCTGGGGCGGCTGCTGGGCAGGTCTGAAGGTCCCCGAGTCTCCTCTTGCCCCGCCCGGCTGCAGCGACCACGGACAGATCGGAGCAAGAGTCTCCCGCCCCGGTGCGGCGCCCGCCCGGGAAACGTCCCCACCGCGCCCAGGCAGCCCCTCTCGGGAAATGGCGGACGCCACAGGGCCTTCTTGGCCACCTTCTCCCACGACTCCATGTGAGACACAGGGTTTCCCCTCCGCCGCCCGGGCCTGGCCCGACCCACTCTCTCCCTTCCCCCTGGGTTCGGGACCACGGTGGCCCCGTTTCGGCGTCCATGCCGCGCCTCCGCACCCTCTTTCCCGCCAGAGAACAAGGGGTACCCGAGGACCGAGGTCACCGCCCTCCTACCAGGGTACAGGTTCCCAGGGCTGCTGTTCTCCCAGGGAAGAAAGGGGCAACCCACCCGCCCCGAAACCAGGGTCCCAGGGTTGGGGTCACCGTCCTCCTGCATCCCCCGGCGCCCGGGAGCTGCCAGGGATCCGGTTCGGCACGGGTGGTAGAGCTGAGAACAGAACCCAGGGCCCACGGGCGCCAACAGGGGCATTTGCCAAGAAAAAGATTCGAGCTCTGAGAGCGGGTGTCTCACGGGGTGCGGGGGCCGGTTTGTTCTTTTCTTGCCCAGATTTTGAAAACTCCAGCCCAGGCTCGTGCCGCCGGGGCCCCCGGGAATTGGAATCGCCCCCAGTGGCTCCGGTTACGGCACCCGCTTTCGGCTCACGAAGGCCAGGCGCTCCGGGGAAAACGCAGCCGACCCGCGCGCCCCTCTCCGCCGCCGGATTGGCCTTGGCTCCAAGGCCAGGAGTTACCCCGCTCTGGGCGTTGAGTCCGCCCGGGCCCCTGTGGCCAGCCGAAGGAGAAGAGCTGAGCCCCGGCCGCGAGTGCGCAGAAGGACCCTGCCGAATGGATCTTCCCGGGAAGACAGGAAGGGGGCGGGCACCGCGCGGGGCACTTACCCGGGTGCGGATGGAGGTTCAGGCCGGCCATGTACTTCCCGGGCGGCAGCGGGCCGGGCAAGCCCGAGGCAGGCAAGCGTCCGGCAGTGGCCGCGCCCACGCGGTGGCTGTCCATGGCCAGGCCGGAGAGCAGAGGCGGCGGGGGACCGTGCACGGACCGCTGGGGCCCGAAGTCTCGGCCATCCATCCTCCGCGGGAGTGCCGCGGCCAGACCCCCACTCGGCCCGCAGGCCTTGCTCAGTGGCACCTAAAAGTTCGGCCTTGGCGTAGTCCCAGAGTCCTCGGGCGGCGGGGGCTCCGCGGCGTGCATGGCGGCGGCCAGCGGGGCTTGCGCTCGGTGGCGGGCCGGCGGCCCCGGGCGCACAGGCGGCTGGCGGTGAGGCCCCTCCGGACGGCCGGGCAGAGCTGTGCAAGGCGGCACACACGACGTCTTGACGGGGAGGAGACGGGCCGCGGAAGAAATAGAAGCGGAGAAAGAAAAAAACAATAAAGTAACAAGTTTCAGAAAGTCGCCTAGCCCTTTTGGATCGGGGATTGCGGACCGAGTGGCTAGAAATGAAATTGGGAGCAGCCCCTTTTCAGTGAAAAGTAAAAATCCATGCTCCTTCCGCAGGCGGCTTCAGGCTCCCAGGACCTGGCTCGGAAAAGTGACCCGCAGCGGCGTGCTGCGCCCCAGCCCGGACTCTGCCTCAGCGGCTGCCGGGTCCTCCCGAAACCGGGAAGGGCTCCTCGGCTGCGCCCGGACAGCATAAATACAAACCTCTTAAGTGTATTATATTCCTGGGCGTCAAAGGCTCCGGAGTTTAAAACCCTGAAGCCTTTCCACGAGCTAGCCGAAGTGTCTCCCTAAACACTCTGGCACTATCTAATCCGCAAAGTTTAATATTTAACCTTTTGGAGACCTCGCCTCCCTTTTCCGAGTTTGGTTTTTCCTGAGCTCGCCTTGAACCGCTGACGGAATGGTGTTTTTCTGGGGGTGGGAGGAGGGAGGGTCCAAAGCGGGCTTATTATTTTTAAAGAGGCCAGTGGTCCCCCGCTTCTCCCCCCCGGGACACTGTGAGTCCCAGAGCTCGAGTCTGAGGACCCGAGACGTGGCATTCTCGCCTGAGGACTGGAAAGAATCCTACAAAACAAGCTTTGGTTTCATTTTCCAACGCCCTGGCCTGAGATCCTGCAGGCCGAGGACGTGGCCTGGCGTGGGGGATCTGGGGGATGTCAAGAGGGTAAGGAAAGGGATCAAGGGTCTCACTCCTACTCTAGCTTCCCCTTACCCACCCCCCCCAAATAACCTACAAAGAAAACCTTTGCCGCGCGGGCCGGCCAAGGGGCGCCTCCCCCACCGTTGGGTAAATCCCCCTGTAGTTCCAGTTTAAAGCTGTTTGTTTAAAAGATTTGTCGTTTGCCGATTCTCCTGGGAATGGGAGGGGGTCTCCGAGCCCATCCTTCCTTCCCTCGATCTCTGTCTGCCTGCAGCAGCTCACATTCCTGATTCCGGGAGGCCTGGGCGCTCTTAGAGCCGCCGATCAAGCCAAAGCCATCGGCTCCCGGGTGCCCGTTCGGCGCCCTGCACTCCGCTGCCCGCACTCCGCGCCCAAGCCCCCGGAGCAGCAGACGCCCTCGGCTGCAAAACCCTGGCCAAACCCGCCGGCCTTCCTCTCCAGCCTCCCTCCCCAACTTTGCTAAGGGTGCCTATTTTAACCTGGTTTTGCTTATAAACACCCTCTCCCTCCCTCCCTCGCTCGCTCTCTCCCATCAGGTTCTGGTTACCAGATCCGCGTTTACTTTGGAAAAATCTAAGATCGCCACATCCGAGGATACATGTCTTAAGGAGGCGATGAGCTTTCCGTGATTTTTTTTTTAAATCAGAGATTCTTTGGGTAGCTTTCTTTTAAAAGCCAGAGCCTCGAGGCATGCCCAGGCGCCCCAGTTTGGGGAAGTCGGGGTGAAGCCCCCTGGAACACCCTCGCTCTGGCAAAGAAGCTGCCTCGGCCATCTGCGGGCTCCGCTGCGTTCTCCCTACTTTTCTCCCCTCTTAAATGCAGTTAAAATGGCTGAATTCCGGCTTTTAATTAAAAACAGCCTATAATCGAAAACGTCTCGGCGTCCCGGGCTCCCCCGCCGCCTACTGGGAACCGAGAGAGGAACCGCCGCCCCTCGGCCGGGCCAGGCGATGCGGAGTGGGGCTAGGGGCTCGTGTGGGCGCCCAGGGCGCAGCAGCCCGCCCCCATCCCTCCCGGGGCGCCCCCTCCCAGCCGGCCCTGGTCCCCGATTCTGTAATCGGGAGCCGGACAGTAGCGGGGATCTCCCCCGCGCACCCTGAGGGGCAGGCGTGATTGGGGGGCGAGCTGGAGAAGTTTGGAGACCATCGCACCCGGCCGGGGGCCGGCAGGCTGACCGGCGGCGTACCTGGCGCGGCTGGGTTCCCGGCTTCGGGCTCCGGCGACAGCGACTCCGGCGGCGGCCCCGGCTACCGGCGCGGCTAGGCGCCCGTGCTGCCCGCCATCCCGCGGCCGCCGCTCCCCTCCGCCACCCGCAGCCGCCTCACACTTTTTGCCCGGCTTTCCTTTTTTTGGTAGAAAACCGCTCCCCGGGCCGAGCGCTCGGCGCGCCTACTCCTCCGCCCTCCCGCGGCCCGGCTCCCGCAGCCCCCGGAAAAGCCAGCTTTTCTCCCGCCGAGCTCCCCGCTTTTTAATAAAATCCAGGTAGCGCCGGTTTAAAGAATCCCAAATCTCCATATACAGCCCGGGATTGGAAAAGGTACATTACACAACCCCCCTTTCAAGTTCCTCTCGCTGGATCTAAAANAAAAAAAAGGCAGCGGGGGGGGGAAATTGGAGGGAGTTGGGGGAGGGGAGCACTCTCCAGCAAAGAAACACGCATTGTTCCCGGGCGTCCGCCCCCCCCAGCCCGGCCCCTGGCCGCCGCGCATTGGCCGCGTGCGCCGCCAATCACGCTCATGTAAACACCTTGGCCCACAGCCATTCCTATAAAACCAATTACGGACCTAGGGGCTGCAGCAGTTTCCAGGCTCCCCTCGGCGGGGCTGAATGATCAAAACTGGTGGTGAGAATTTTTCCGGGCCGTTTCTAGGCAGCCCTCCCCATCCACCAGCGCAGACCCCCCCCTTTCTCCTTCTCCTCCCTTTTCCTCGTCCCCCTCCCCCAGCGTCTGGGCTGAGTGATCAAAATAGAGGAAGATGGTTGTCGCCGCAATCCAGCGCTTTGCAAGGCGCGGTTTAATGGGCCGCCTGTCAGCTTCCTGCTCGCAGGAGGAGGTGACAAGCCAAGCGAGCCGGGGAGCGCCTGGGGGCCCGGCGGGCTGCACCCCGGCCCCGGGCCCCGGTCCCCCGCCTCCCCTAGGGTGCGCTTCTAGTACGCGCAGTGGAGACGCCAAAACAGACAAGGGCTGCTTTTTCCCGTTTTTTTTCTTCCTTTTAATACAATGCAGCGATTCATTCCCTCTACCCCAGCAGCGCGGTCGGGTGGGATGGGCAAGCGAGAAGGCCGTTTTCCTAGCTCTGGCCTGCGGGTCCCTCCCTGAAACGCAGTGTCAGATGGTTACTGATTAATATTTTGGAGAGGCCGCAGCGGCGGGCAGCGGGTGAGTCTCTAATCTTCTAAAGGGGGTTCCTATAGAAACGCGGACCTGGGCGCGCCCCCCGCACGGCCCAGGCCCGGGCTGCAGCGCTTCGCACCGTGCGCTCCTCCCCAAAGCCCCTCTTTACGTGGGTGCTCCCCTCTCCCCCCACCAACAAAAAATCAGAGCAGAAAGAAGGATTAGATCGGTTGAGCGCGAACTGAATCCATCTCGATTCTGACATTTCAGCCTATTAGCATTTCTCCACGGAGCCTTCTGAAACCTATTAAAGTGTAATATTAAAAACCTCTTGGCTGGGGGCTTCTCTCGCCTTCCATCCGCCGCGCCCCCTCCAGGGAGGGCGAGACCGGGAAAAAAAAAAAATCTGTTGAGCTCAGAGGAAGCAGCCGCCAAGCCCAAAAAGTGCTTGGCTGGCCACGGCGGCCGTAGGGGGAGGGGAGCCCCAATCCCCCCAGACTTTGTACTTTTATTTTGCGCTTTCAGCAAAATCCTTTCTGGGTTGTGTAGCTGTGAGCTGCCCGCGGCCGACCTACCTGACCGGGGGCGCAGGGAGTGAGGACCACGCCAGCAGGAATGTCCTGGGGGGCCCCCCCCGCACCCTCTCTCCGCAGCCCTGTGCAGGCCCCGGAGCCCAGCTAGGCATTACGTACCCTGGAAAGGAAGCTTGGAGGGGCAGAAGTCCTTCCGCTCCTACCTCGGAGAGCAACTGCGGTGATAAGATTTTAATTAAAATAAGAGAAGCCCGCTCTTTCGCCCCGCGCTGCGGACTCAGCGTTTTCGAATTGCCTGTTCTGTTTTTTTTCAAATCAATTTTTAAGGCAACTTTTCGGGGGGGGTGGCGAATGAGCGAGAGTGCCCATTCGTTCTATTTTCTTTTCTCCACTTTTAGAAAAAAAAGTGGGGGAGGCTTCGAGAACGAACTGGGGGTGTCTAATTTAATTCCAGGATAAATTTGAGGAAAAAAGTTCAGCCTCTTGAGGGCAGTTTCAAGTTGCCCTTCCTGGAGCTTCCTGCGTTGGTTTCTAGGCTGCCCTCTTTTGGAAGCTGGAGCTTCGCTGGGGGAGGAGGGAGGAGTGAGAAGGAAAGAAAGGAACGAAAATAGCCGGAGCTGAGGGGAACAAGCCACGGTGTCCGCGTTTGGAGCTGGGTGTGCGGGTCTCAGTGGCGGCCTCGGCATTCGGGGCAGCGGGAGGCGCCCGGTGCATCCCCGGGACGGCCAGAAGCAAAGACGGAGAGGAGAGGGGGGTTAGAGAAAGGAGGTATTGTGTCTGTGTGCCTTAGGGGAGGAGGGGACTGCAGGAATCGAATAAACGCAGTCGAGCTGTGCGGGGCTGCTGGAAGTCCAGGCGGGGGAAGGGGGCCGTGTGTGGGGGGCGCCGAGCGCCCTTGAGCCTTACACAGAGGTCTTG